CTACCCTTCCTCCAGAAACACAACAGCATTTTAGGGGGAGACAGGCTAAGGGAGGCGTCCTGGGCCAGAGGTCTCCAGCGTACAGAGACTGCCCCTTCTGGCCAGCAGGCCTGTAGCTGCACTGGAAGGGCCTCCGTGGGGCCTGGGCTGTGTGTGACAGGGACCAGGAGCCATTCTACCTACTGTTCCGTCCACTTGTGCATGTATTTACAAGAAGATGACATCGGATAAAGCAATACATTTGAGATTTTAATAATTAAAAAGGGGGCTGGGTGTGGTGGCTCACGCCTGTAATCCTAGCACTTTGGGAGGCCAAGGCGGGCAGATCACGAGGTCAGGAGATTGAAACCATCCTGGCCAACATGGTGAAACCTGGTCTCTACTAAAAATACAAAAAACTTAGCTGGACGTGGTGGCACACACCTGTAGTCCCAGCTACTCGGGAGGCTGAGGCAAGAGGATTGCTCCCAGGAGGCAGAGATTGTGCTACTGCACTACAGCCTGGGCGACAGTGTCGGACTCCATCTCAAAAAAAAAAAAAAACAAAACACTGTTATGAACAGTCTCACTTTTGGTACCGCACTAAATGTCCCCTCATTTTTTCCCATTTTTATGATTTTTGAAACGAAAATCTAGACCACACTAAGCTTTACCTGTTGGGTTCTTTGTTGGCAGAATTTTTCCCTAGATTGGTGTAAGCAGCCAGACGTGGGCCTTCCCAAACCCGACCTGGTCCTGTTCCTCCAGTTACAGTTGGCGGATGCTGCCAAGCGGAGCACGTTTGGCCATGAGCGTTATGAGAACAGGGCTTTCCAGGAGCGTGCGCTGCAGTGTTTCCACCAGCTCATGAGAGACACGACCGTGAACTGGAAGGTGAGGCTCAGAACTGCACACTAGGAATCACTGAGAAGTGGCTCAGGGTTAATTGCGGTGACGGCAGCAATTGTGCCAGCAGAGCTGCTGCCGTTTCTGTCTGGTCTTCCCAGATGTGGAGCCCCAGGAGCAGCTGTTCAGGGGTTCTCAGTGCCAGCAAATTCCTTTCTTTTTTTTTTTAATTTTTAGTAGAGGCAGGGTTTCACCATGTTGGTCAGGCTGGTCTCAATCTCCTGACCTTCAGGTGATCTGCCCACCTCGGCCTCCCAAAGTGTTGGGATTACAGGTGTGAGCCACTGCACCAGGCCCATGCCAGCAAATCTTTTTTTTTTTTTTTTTTTACAGAGTCTCGCCCTGTCGACCACCCGGCTGGAGTGCAGTGGTGCAGTCTTGGCTCACTGCAGCCTCTGCCTCCTAGGTTCAAGCAATTCTCTCCCTCAGCCTCCAGAGTAGCTGAGATTACAGGCACCTGCCACTACACTTGGCTAATTTTTTTGTGTTTATAGTAGAGATGGGGTTTCACCATCTTGGCCAGGTTGGTCTTGAACTCCTGACCTCATGATCCACCCGCCTTAGCCTCTCAAAATGCTGGGATTACAGGCGTCAGCCACCACGGCCAGCCTAGTGCCAGCAAATTCTAATCCTCTGGTGAGTTTTACACAATGGTGACATTTGACACCTGGTCTGGTGGGTCGGGTGAGAGTGCACAGTCCTCCACATCCACGGCCCCTCTTCAGACCTGAGCGCCAGCCTGGTCCTGCCACTGTGTCGTCTGGTGCAGCCTCTTGCTGGCGTGGGGCCCTGCAGCTGCACCTGGCTGTTGGAGTTCAGGATGGCGCTGTGTGCTGGCCTTTTCCCTTCAGCCATGCGTCCTTCCGTCTCAGCAGTTCCAGGAGTCCACCCCAACTCTCCATCCACTCCCAGGATGCTGGACTCCCCCCCCGCAGAGGACACGCAGCTGACCACCTCTGCTCCTCCCAACTGCAGCCCCCACTTCTCTCCCAGACTCTGGGTGCCCGTGCTTAGCACTGCCCAGCACAGCCTATTTCCAGCAGCATCAGCACTGTGGCTTGTGGCCGTGGCCTGCAGAGCTTCGGTCCCTTGAGCTCCTCCACCAGAGCAGGGCCGAGGGTCTCACCCCAGCCCGACTGCCTGCAGATGCTGCCGGCCACACAGCTGTCGGTTTCCCAGAACACAGGCTGGGTGGCAGTGCACTCTGCGGCAGTGCTGCAGTCTGGCAGTCAGTTGCCTGGAGAGGCCCGTCCTGGACGGTTATGGGTGACAGCTGTGTGGCAGCACCCTGGCCAGCAAGTGGCATCTGGGAAGGTGGCCATGTGTAGGGAGTCACTCTCTTTTCATCATGGTCACACTTCATGAAATGGTTAGTCTTCGAGTACCTTCGATGCCCTGGCAGATTTTCCAGACCTTGCTGTCCCAGAGGCTTGAGAAGGGTCTTGCTCAACCCAGCCACAGAAGCCGGGATGCTGCTGAGACGGCAGTGCTTCTGAGCCCCTCGCGTGCCTGCCTTCTGGGGGAGAGAAGTCTCTCCTGCGGGCCGACTCCCTCTCCGTCTTCCTCGAGCCACTCACGCCAGGGTGCGGCACAGCTGTTAGGACCAAATTCATCTTTCCCTCAGGGACGAGGCAGGCCCAGTGTTGCCTTGGTCCCGCCATGTGGCTTCTGTAACGGAACTTCCTCACATTCCAGGCCGTGCCCAGGCGCCTCCGGGGGGCCACAGGAGCATGGGCCTGCCCTCTGTTCTTCCGAGTACCCACTCTCGAGCTGGAGGGACAGTCACCCCGACCTGGTGTGCGTGGTGGGCTGGGTCGGCCTGGCTGTGCCTCACTCCTGCAGGCGGGCACTTGCTAGGGTTGGGGTCACAAGGAGAGCAAGCGTGGGCAGGCGGCTCGCCGTGTTTCTCCTATGTCAGGGCTGTGGCAGGAATGCCTGGTGGCTCTATGTCATGGACTGTTATGGTTGAGGTTCTGAAAAAAGAGTAGAGTGAAGGGTCCTGGAGGTCACCACACTGGCCAGGAGGTTCAGATTGGCCTTCCGGAGCCTGGCTTGTGAAAGCCCCACACGCAGAGAACAGAATGAAACATGGTTTTGAGACAGGGTCTCACTGTGTCACCCAGGCTGGAGTACAGTGGTGCCCATAGAGATGGGGATTCCCTATGTAGTCCAGGCTGGTCTTGAACTCCTGAACACATCCTCCCTTGTGGGCCTCCCAAAGTTCTGGGATTACAGGCGTGGGCTCCCATCCCCAGCCTGGAAGGTGCTGATGAGCTTCTTTTTCTGAAACCCCTGTGGGAACAGATGGTGGATGCTTCCAAAAGCATTGAAGCTGTCCATGAGGACATTCTTGTGCTCTCTGAGGACGCCATCCACACCGCCACAGAGAAGCCGCTGGGGGAGCTGTGGAAGTGACCCCAGGCTGGACACCTCGCCCTGCAGTCCCTCACGAGGTGGGAGACCTGTGGAAGGCCCGCGTCCCCAGCGGTGCCCACGCTCCACGACTTCAGCTCTTTCCTGGTAGCAGAGATATGTAGGCTGCCTCTCCTGACCCAGAGTTGGGGTGCACCGGGGACCCCTGTGGTGGGGACCTTGGCGGTGTGGACACGAGCAGAGCGATGGAGCAGTCTCCTGCCCTCCTCCTTGTCCTGATGATACTGTTGTATTTTCTTACTGATGTTCAGTGGCAACTCTGAGCAGTTTCATTGCGATCATTGTAAATGGCAATCAATCAGTCAGAATTCTCTCTGAAATGTCTTCCAGACACTAGTAAAAATTGACCTGAAAATTGTTTGTAGATTTTTCTTAGATACCATCTAAGGACTGAGCTGGCTTTGAATGGGAATCTCCATCCCAGGGCAGAAGAGCCTTCATTGGGCCCTGTAGGGCTTTCTGGACCTTGGTTCCTGCCTAGTTGAGGAATTCCCCCGTGGGTCTGAACAGTCGCAGCCATGCCATGCCAGAGCGTCAGCAGAGCTTACGTCCTCAGTACACCCAAGTTAACTCTGCTGTTTTCATTGCAACCCCGGAGCTTTTCATCCCATCCCTTATTTTTTTGGAAACAGGGTCTGTCTCTGTTGCCCAGGCTGGAGTACAGTGGCAAGATCGTAGCTCACTGCAGCCTTGACCTCCTGGCTCAGGTGATCCTCTCACATCAGCCTCCTGAGTAGCTAGGCCTACAGGCCTGTGCACCATGCCTGGCTCATTTTTTGTAGAGACAGGATTTTGCTATGTTGCCAGCCAGGCTGGTCTCAAACTCCTAGGCTCAAGTGATCTACCTGCCTTGGCCTCCCAAAGTGCTGGGATTGCAGGTGTGTGCCACCATGCCCGGCTCATCACGGGTCCACATAACCGAGGCAGGTGGGGCCGAGACAGGAAGTGTGATGCCAGCAGCAGAAGCTGGAGAGATGCTGTGTTGCTGGTTGTGAGGTTGGAGGAAAGAGCCATGAGCCCAGCAATTCCTGGCATCCAGGAGCTGGGAAAGACATGGAAATGTTCTCCCCTAGGATCTCTAGAGGAGCAGCCCTGCCCACAGCACGGTCAGGAAGAGGCTGTGCTGTTCCGGGCACTGAATGTCGACCTGTCAGAGCAGCCACAAGAATCGAATACGAGCATTTGAGAGAACACAAGTCCTCAGCCAGCTCACCAGGGCCTCGCAGTGCCCCCTCCTGCCTGGCTTTGGGGCTTCATGTCTGTACCAAGACTGCCCACAGGGATGCACGGGCCAGAGTGAGCGACGTCCCCCCAAGCCCCCTGCTGTGCCCCGGCAGTCACTGCTTTACTGTGCTTCCAGCTGAGGCAAACCAGACACCTTGTGGTGCGTTCTGCAGCTTCCTCCTGTTAAGAATGGGAAGCACCATCTGACTTTCCTAAAATCTGATTTTCCTTGGACTCTTTCCTTCCAGGGTTGTATGAGGGGACCGATGACACGTTTCCTAGAGAGCCAGGCTTTAGGCAGGACGGGCCCCCTGCCAGGGCTAGGGAGGCACCTGCTCATGCCCCCACAGCTGCCACAGCAGCCACGTCCTCTGCGTGTGATGCTATCAGCTGCGACGCTCACTTATTTTTTTCTGAAAATCATTCAGTTGTAACTTGAGTAAAAAATACACACAAGGTTTGTTTTCTACTGAAACTTATTATTTGCCATTAAGAATTGCAAACTATACTACTAAGAATGAACAACATTCTCTGTTAAGCCTTTTTCAAAACACGCAAGACAAGGCTCCCCTTCGGTCAGGGGGTTCCACCACTTCCACGCAGCAGCCCCACAGCCCAGCACAGCGGCACACCGTGGACTCGGACACAGAGCCCCAGGAGTGGAGATCCTGCGCCCACGCCTTCCTCCCCGCCCCCAACTACACCCAAGGGAGAACGGATTCGAGGAAATAAACCATCTCATCAACGCTTGGGGGACTGGGAGTGTCCTCTGCCACCTGGTGGGCCTGTCCTACACAGGCAGTAGCAAGTTGTGCGGGCACCGACGCGGGTGCTCGTGAGAGGCGCATCTGCAGCCCACCACACCCATGCTCCCCAAGCCCTCCTGCTTACATTTCCTAGTGGGGCAAACAAACCCACTTTCCCACGACAGGCGGCAGAGCAGTGGGGCAGAAAGCACTTGGGGACCCAGGACAGCAGGTTACACAGGGTCAGGCGGTGGTGGGTGCTAGAATCAGGGATGAGGAGGTTCTGGAAATGCCACCAGGTGATGCCACCCTGTGGTGTCTGCCGTCACATGCCGCAAGGCTCGAGTGGTTTTTCCCTTTTGGCCCCAAGTCACCTAAAACCTCAGTGACACAAGAGGGCACTTCTCAGCAAGGCAAGGACACGGGAAAGCTCCTGGGAGTGGTGCTGTCTACCCTTGAGCACAACTGTCACAGGTGGAGGCCCCGCCCTGCCCCTCACCACCCCTGGGGAAATCAGCCGCAGCTGCGCCACAGGATACCACAGCCCTTGAAAGGGACGCTCTGAGGACAGCGGCCCCAGCAGCCGCCCTTCTGCCCAGGCTGCCCACGCCACGCCCTGTGCACATCCATGTCTTTGGGTTTCCCATACACCCACTCCCTGAACACTGTTCTCCCTAAAGCAAGGAGAAGCCTTGCCTCTGTTCCTCCAACCTCACCTCCCACTGAGGTAGCCCTTGATAAGCCAGGCTGGGCAGAGAGGACACAGCCGTGGGCACCCCCCTCGAGAGCAGCCCAGTCCTCGGGCCTGGGGCCACAGCGTGGCTGTCGCTCCTCTCACACCAGCCTGCAGAGAGTCTTCTGAGACTCGGACTCAGGAGGTGCCCCAGAAATTCATGTCTGTGCCTGACAACTTCAAACAGGACTTTAATTCCAAACCAACCACAGAACTGGTGCCTGGGAGCAAGTGAGACTGAGGCCCAGGTGCAAGCGCGGGGCTGGCAGTGTCGAGAACGCTCTGGAAGCTCCTAACCGTCGGCTCCGGGTGCGGATGCACAGGCCCGGACAGGCATTCTGGGCTGGGCAGCCTGACACCAAGCAGTAAGGCCTCGCAGGCAGCGCAGCCTCAGTCCACGAGCAGAGCAGGCAGCCCCCGGGGGAGGCGGCACGGGGCGCGGCCCTCGGCAAGCGAGCAGGCGGGATGGACAGAACCCGAGACAGGGCCCGGCTCTCGCAGGCGCCAACCCCCGACCCCAGGATTTTCAAAGGGACAGGATTTCAAAGTCTTCATCTTCTGAGTCAAAGAATCTTTCCAGTCGCTCTACATCAGAAGAATCTAGAAGGGACAGGACACAGCTCATCAGTCATCTCGGGGAGACTACTTGGGTGTGAGTGAAGCGCCCTTGGGGTGGGGGCAGACCGAACCCCTGGTCTGCAGCCCACCCTGAGGGGCCCAGAGGCAGCTGTCCCCAGGGGGCATGAACAGGCCCAGGGCGCATGGAGTACAAGGGGGGGGTCGTGGTGAGGAGGGCGGGGGCGGCCTGCACAATCTGTCCCGTGTCTCCCTCGCTGCACCCAGCCCTCTGTGGTCGTCAGTTGTGTGGGTCCATTGCCTCGCGGTTTTTCACAGCGAGACGGATGAGGAGGACGTGCTCACGGCCACACACCTGCTTCCCTGCGCGAGCCCAGGCTGGCTCCTTGACCACGCTGGCCATGGTCCCAGGGGTCTGCACCACCCATGGCCAGTGGTACTGAAGTGGAACAGTCCCCGAGCCAGGACGGTGTCATCACAGGCCTCTGTGTTCTGTCTGCTCCAGAGCCCTGAGGACTCCATGGGAGCACACCCAGCTCCACATGCCCAGGGCAGGCACCACAGGTGGGGAAGGTAAGGCAGGTCCTGGGATGCTGGGCGAAGGCTCGGAGGAGGGGACACTCCACTCTGCGCCTGGCCTTGCAGGCCAACCACCGCCAACTTGCTCACGGCTCAGGCTCACACACACCTTAGTGGTCAAAACCGCGGGGGCCAGGGCTGGGGAAGCAAGAAGGGCACAGACTGCACGCCGAGGGGCCCCACCGGGCTTGGCCCTGCAGCTGCAGCGCTCACCTAGGGACAGGTTCAGGACGTCGGGGCAGGCCAAGTGTGAAGGCTGCTGCTCCACCAGCTCAAACATGGGCAGGGCACCTCCGAGCAGAGACAGCTGTGAGGGAGACATGGCTGTTAGGTGCAACCTCACCCCAGGGCTCCCTGCAGCCAAGAGAACGGGGCCGGCCAGCACAGCCAGGGGACAAACACGACTGTCATCCCACTTCACGGATGAGAAAACAGGCAGCTTCCACACTGAAGGCTACACAAGAGCCCAATACGGTGACCAACACCCGGCACAGTCTGACCACAGTGACAGAGAGGGGCAGGCTGCACATACTCAGCCAGCGCAGCTCGGCACCCCACCACCACCCCCATCTCAACAGCAGACAGACAAGGGCGCTGGAAATCCACTCTAAAGTCAGCATGAAGCACTCGTCACTAGGGCTGCTGTGTTGCCAGGGGGGCGATCCAGGATGCCCCATTCTGTTCAGCTGCACAGCTGTGCCAGGCAGGACAAGGCTCCCCACAGCCCAGTGAGGCTGCCTGAGACCCGGATGCCGGCTTTCAGCCCCTGCATGCCCCGCTGCCTGTCTCCCTGGCTCAGCTCGGTGGTGAGTGGTGGGGCAGCAACATACCTTTTTAACTTGCTGGCACCAGTCATTGAAGTCGTCTTCAGTTTTACAGAAAAACCCCTGAAACAAAATAACCATGAGCAGAACAGTCACTCAGGCCTGCAGTCGGCTAAGAGGAGGGGCTTCCACTCCCACTGCAGAGGCGCAGCAGAGGCCCCGGCGTGCAGGTGCTGCCCACGCCAGGCTGCCTCGGCTCCTCTGGCGGGGAAGCGAGCCTGAGGGTGCCCTGTGCACGGCCCCCTGCAGCAGTGCCTGGCTCCCTTCAGGCTCCACTACATTGCTCTGCCTTGGTTCACCCCTGAGATGTTATGTGGTGTGCATCTGTTAGGCCTCACCAAATCTTCCGGGAATGAGGCAGGTTATCAGTTTGGGCCAAGTGGGGAGCTCTTCTCTCTGTGACTGTGACTCAGGGCCGCAGGGCCTCAGCCTTCACCCAGCATCTCCCTGGAAGCTTGGCGGCAAAGGCCACTGAGAACTGCCCGAGGACACGCAGCAGCCGCAGCCCTGACACAGGGCGCCTCCCGCTGAGGAGCCAGGAGAAGGGACCTGCCAGGGGTCGCCGGCAACCACGTTCTCAAAGCTGCTGCCTGGAATGGCGGTCACTAGGAATTCTCAACGCTGCCAGATGTGTAGATGTTAACACAAAAAGGAAATGAAACGGGAAAACAAAGACTAAATGGGAGGAGGAGCTGAAACCAGGCCCTCCTCCTCCGAGGACGCCGCTTCTGCTGCCCCAGCGCTGGCGCAGGAGCTCTCCCCCCTGAGGACGGGGGACATTCCTCCTCCTCCACGGCGAGGACAGTCATCCCACCGGGTGGCCCCTTTGATCTCAACTCCTCTATGTTCACGAGGCCGCTCGTGTCTGCAGTGGCCCCCTCCCCAGCCTGACCTGACTGTTAGGAGTGCCAATCACTGTTAAGCCACCAAGCCACGTGGATAATAAGCAACATGCTTAATTCTAATTAGATGAGGAATTCATGAATAGGTTCTGGTAAGAAGTCTGAGCCACAGAGCTCCAGCCCATGTTCCCTGCTCCTGCCACCCTGCCCAGGAGGTGCATGGCGTGGGGTGTACACTCAGGGGCTGAGCCGCAGCTCGGAGGCCACCCCAACACTTGGAGGCTGAGCCACAGCTCAGAGGCCATCCCATTTCAGGCCTACATCTGCCTTCTTCCTCCTAAACGGGGCAGAGCATGCACATCAAACGCACTGACTTGGTTAAATGCTTCCCTAAGCGTGTCACTGTCATTCATTTTTTGGTCTCTTTCTCCAACAAATACATTTGAGGGTAGGCAGGTCTGCATAAATCACACACCAAAAATCACAACTAGGTAATCAAAATGAAAGAGCAGGGCAGATTGTTCTTAGGAAATCATCCCCAGAGAGGTTAAGTCAGAGGCTCTGGAAAACACAAGGTGGTGTGAAGTGGGTCCAGGAGCCGCCCTGTGTGTTTAAAAAGTGGGTGTGAGGAGACACCATGGCTCACACTCATCCATGTACACTCAGCATGCGCCCACACACACTCACACCCAGACACACGCCTCTGGGCCACCTGACGGCCACGAAGGCTGTGCAGGAGGCGGGTGCCTGGGGGAGGGACGCAAAGACGCAAGGACACGGTTCAGGCTCTTGTGCCCTTCAGATTCCAAACCACGTGAACACAATACTAATCCCAGTATGTCGGAAAAAATGAAAAACCTGAAGGTTTTCCTCGTCATTCCCAAACAGCATTCGGCACAAAACGTGCGCTCAGCCGGCTGCCACGTACCACAGCGATGGACGGGTCGAGCTCGGCGATGCTCATGCGGCACGGCGGGTGCTGGCAGTGGAAGCTCTGGTCCGGGATGAAGCAGCTGTCGGTGGGCTCCACGGCTGGCTGCGTGGTGTGCGGGTCCAAGTAGATGAGCTCCTCACCTGGGAGGTCAGGCAGGCAGGCAAACGAACCAGCAGAGGAAAGGGACACGTGGCCGCATTTCAGGCCCGCTGCACCAACGTCACGCTGAGAAGCAGCGGGCAGGGGTGGGAGGGAGCCGAGGGCGCCAGACCATCAGGGAAGGCACACAGGAGGCCGACCGCGGCCGGGCTGCACACAAGCCCCCCACGGGCATGCTGCTTTTCCACTGCCGGCCTCAAGCGACCACCTGGGGTGTGGGACTTGCTGACGACAGGCCCTTTGAGGGCACAGGCCAGAAGGGACACGGTGGGGACCCCGGACTCACCGACATAGCCAATGAAGTAGTGGGCGCTGTTGGGCTTCCCTCCGATGACGCCCAGGGACTGCGGCATCATGAAGCAGTGCTGTGGGATGGAGGAGGCTGAGACAGGTCAGTGCCGTGGGAGGGAGGAGGCTGAGCACGGGTCAGTGCCGTGGGAGGGGGGAGGCTGAGCTTGGGTCAGTGCTGTGGGAGGGGGGAGGCTGAGCTAGGGTCAGTGCCGTGGGAGGGGGGAGGCTGAGCTCGGGTCAGTGCCGTGGGAGGGGGGAGGCTGAGCTAGGGTCAGTGCCGTGGGAGGGGGGAGGCTGAGATGGGTCAGTGCCGTGGGAGGGGGGAGGCTGAGACAGGTCCCAGGTGGGAGCAGATGGTCCCCGACCCACTGCCGTAGGGGCCCAAGAGCCTGCTGAGGCCCAACTGGGTGACACAAGAGGGGACAGAAGAGCTTCCTATCCAGGAAAGACCACAGGACGTCCCACATGTACAAGAAACCCAATCTGCAGGCTCGGCTCCAGGAAGCTTCATGTCACACGTGGGCTTTGGGGAGGATGGAAATGAAGGGCTGGCAGATGTGAGCAGGGTTGTGGGGGCAGCTGGGATACTTTGGGGTGGTCAGAAGGCTGGAGGGAGAGGCCAAGTTCAGACAACTGAATGACTTTAACAGAAAGCCACAATTCAGCTCCACACAGTAATGATCTCAAACGTGTCTCCTTGGTCTAACACTAGAGTTCACTGAAGAAAGGGTGGTTTTGCCTTTTGCTTTCATGACATGGGGAGCCTGTGGCTGTAACTCCTCAGGGAGCTCAGAGGCCTGTCCATCACCTCCAAGCCCTGCCCACAAGCCAACCCACCCTCCAAAGGGAGCTAAGGTCAAAAGGGCTGTGGGGGAGGGGCAGGCATGCCTGGGGTACAGTGGAGACCCAGGAGGGCAGCAGGGCTCCCTGTCAGGCTGAGGAGTGGCACCTGGTGCCGAGGACCCCCTCCAAGTTCCTCATGCTTTCATTCTTGACGATCGCTTTGACACTTGTAGAACCAAAGCAGCATACCTAGGATGGACGTGTCTCACGCCCACTCACCCCTTGGGAAACAGTACAAACCCTGGCTGTTTACCCCTCCCCAGAGAGCTGGCCGCACAAATGGCTGCACGATGATCTCGCGCTGGGAGCAGGGGATGCAGGGCAAGCGCCGCAAGGCAGGACCCACCTTCAGCGTCTCCACGTAGGCCTCGTTGATGTCTGTGAGCCCCAGGCGCAGGGGGATGAGAAGCACCAGTGGTCTCCATGGCGACGGCCTGCTGGTGACCTCAGCTCCAGCAGGGAATCCGTTGCAATGCCGGTTGGCATCGGTGTCTGCAGGAAACGCAGTGGCGCCTGCACAGGGAGTGCTGCTCCTGCACAACCTTCCTAGAAAGGGAGACAAGCTTTCATCAACCACGCAGAGCTGGGCAAAAGTGCTCCCAAACAAGTGAGCAAATTATCAGTGTCACAGAAAAAGGGCACTGCAAAGCCAGGTGCTTATGATGAAATTCAAACTTGGAAAATACAGAAAAGCAGAAGAAAATTTTTTCATAATCTTGCCACCCAGAGAAAAAAAGAAACACTTTCTATGCATACTGAATTCAAGAGTTTTATTGTGAAATAAAGCACACACACGAAACAGTGCAAGGAAAATCCACGTGCACTCGAGAGGAGCATCGGAGTCCGTCCCAGCAGCCCACCAGCCCGCCTAGCGCCAGCCCACAGGAACCCGCTCCCTCCAGGCTCCTTGGCAAGGGCGTCAGCAGCCCCTTTCCTGGCTCCCACGCCTTCTGCCTGCACACACGCGAGAGCCAACGGTCCAGGGGACACATCAACCGCGGGGTGCGGTGATGGGAGAAGACGCTCCAGGAGCACAGGGCACGCCCGGTGCCCGGACCGCGGTTTCTCAGCACCACTCCCCACTCAGGAGCCAGGCTGATTCCAGGGCCAGGCAGGGAACGCTCGGAGGCGCCTGAGCGTCTGCTCACCTCACAACATAAGGAAGGGCTCAAAACATAAATGAAAAACACCACAACACAGCAAAAGACACCGCCAGACCGAGGCGGCCACTGGCCAAGGGTGGGACCATCAAGCATCAAAAAGATCGGCAGTGACAGGTAAACGCACCGCATGTTTACGTGACGGGGGAAAACACAGCTCTTCTCAGAATGCCAACCAACAAACGTGAGAGGAAAGGATGGGCTAGAAAAACCATCATTTTCAGGCTGGCATCGGACAGAACTCACCAGGGCACACTCAGTGTCACCGCTGGACTATTCATTAATTACAAAGGAAAAAAGACACCAACCACCTCCGGGGATCTGACACAGTGTCCCACTGCAGGCCCCTGACAGGACGGCGGAGGACACTGCCCCCCAGAGGCCCCTCCCAGCCAGGGGCTCAAGCAGAGCCCCGCTGTAAGGAAGCAAATCCAGAGTGCTGGCGGTCAGCTGACCAGGACTCTTCAAAAATGCCAATGCCACAAAGCAGCAACAACCACAACAAAGAGGCAGAATCTTCCTGACTAAAGACCAGAAAGGCACTGCAACTGCATACACACGCACTGGACCCTCAACCAGGAACACAAGTTCCTGGGACAGCAGGGGGCCTGGAGGGGCCCTGGGCCTTTGTGGTGTCACCTCCTCTGTGGTGGTGAGGCTGTGTGGCTCTGAGGAGCACTCTCACTCATAGGAGACATACTCATAAAAATCAAATGTGTCAAAATACTACTGGTGGGTCTAGGTGGAGGGTTTGTGGCCATGACTCACTGAACTTTTCTGTGGGACTGAAATTTCTCAAAATAGACAGTTGCAGAACAAGGATTCTGAGAGCAAGAAACTTTTTTAGTTTTTAATTTCTTGTAGAGACGGTCTCACTGTCACCCAGGCTGCAGTGCAGTGGTGCAATCACAGCTCACTGCAGCCTCAAAGGCCTGCACTTAATCCTCCTGCCTCAGCCTCTAGAGTAGCTAGAACAAGTGTGGGCCACTGTGCCCCACTGATTTTTTCTTTTTTGAGACCGAGTCTTACACTGTCACCCAGGCTGTAGTGCAGTGGCGTGATCTTGGCTCACTTGCAATCTCCGCCTCCTGGGTTCAAGCAATTCTCCTGCCTCAGCCGCCTGAGTAGCTGGGACTACAGGAGTGTGCCACTACGCCCAGCTAATTCTTTTGTATTTTTAGTAGAGACGGGGTTTCTCCATGTTGGTCAGAATGATCTTGACCTCCTGACCTCGTGATCCACCCGCCTTGGCTTCCCAAAGTGCTGGGATTACAGGCGTGAGCCACCGCGCCCGGCCCTTCTTTTTTGAGGCGGATTCTCTGTTGCCTAGGCTGGAGTGCAATGGCACAATGTCTACTTGCTGCAACCTCCACCTTCTGGGCTCAGGCAATTCTCTTGCCTCAGCCTCCCTAGCAGCTGAGATTATAGGCAAATGTCACCGTGCCCAGTTAATTTTTGTACTTTTAGTAAAGATGGGGTTTTGCCATTTTGGCCAGGCTGGTCTCAAATTCCTGATATCAAGTGATCTGCCTGCATCAGCCTCCCAAAGTGCTGGGATTACAGCCACAGGGCAACTGTGCCTGTCCCAAATTCTCTATTTCTTGTAGAGAGGGAGTTGTCCAGGCTGGTCTCAAGCAGTCCTCCAACTCAGCCTCCCTAAGGAGTGGGATTATAGGTATGAGCTGCCATGCCCAGCCTTAAGGGAGTTTTTTGGGTTTTTGTTTGGTTTTTGAGGCAGAGTCTCACTCTGCTGCCCAGGCTGGAGTGGAGGGGTACAATCACGTCTTACTGCAGCCTTGACCTCCCAGGCTCAAGCGTCCTCCCACCTCAGACTCCTGAGTAGGTGGGACTAGACACACGCCCCCATGCCTGACTAGATTTTGTTTTCTTTTGTAGAGATGAGGTTTTGCCATGTTGCTCAGGCTGGTCTCAAACTCCTGGGCTCAAGCAATCTGCCTGCCTCCACCTCCCAAAGTGTTAGGATTACAGGCGGGAGCCACAGTGCTTAGCCAAGGGAAGGATTTTAACTTTAATCTCTAAACACATGTTATTGCTTCAAAGAGCCAGTTCTCTTATTTGTTCTAATAAGTTTTTCTTTAAAAATTTTAAAATTTATTTTAAAAATATTTTATAGAATGAAGTCTGGCTATGTTGCCCAGGATGTCTTGAATTCCTGGCTTTTATTTTTATTTTTTTTGAGATGGAGTCTAGCTCTGTCACCCAGGTTAGAGAATAATGGCACAATCTCACTGCAACCTCTGCCTCTGGGGTTCAAGCAATTCTCTTTCCTCAGCCTCCCGAGTAGCTGGAATTACAGGCACACGCCACCACACCTGGCTAATTTTTGTATTTTTAGTATAGACGGGGTTTCACCATCTTGGCCAGGCTGGTCTCAAACTCCTGACCTCGTAATCCACCTGCCTTGGCCTCCCAAAATGCTGAGATTACAGGTGTAATTACAGGCCACTGCGCCTGGCCAAATTCCTGGCTTTAAGTGATCCTCATGCCTCAGCCTCCCAAAATGCTGGGATTACAAACACGAGCCACTACATCTGGCCTAATACATTTCTTCTTTTAAATCATTAATTTCTGTATTTCTCTTTAATGCCATTCTATGGTTTCTTCAGTTAATTTTGCTGCTTTTTCTGAATTCTTGAGCTGTATGCTTATTTCATTAACTTTCACTTTTTAAAAGAACCTACATACTAGTATTGAAGGTGCACACAGGTTTTGAGTTCTGTACACATCAGACTTAGATACACAGTCATGGTCTGTAAACTTGACTTTTTTGACCCAAAAGCTAAGACAGAGGTTTACCGTTTCCAGGCAGCAAGGTTTGGTCCTTTTCATTTTCTTCTGCCTTAGTTTCATAGAAATGTCAAGGCCCACTCTGCTGTCACAATCCACAGTCTGACAGGTGTCTACTAACTCTTGTTACTGTGTTACCTGGGCCCCTGTAACTTTGATCTTTCTATATCTAATCTGTTAATTACTCTCTGTTTTCCATACATTTTGCTTTATTATTTTTGTTTTTTTGAGACACAGTCTCACTGTGTCACACAGGCTGGAATGCAGTGGCATGATCTCAGCTCACCGTAACTTCTGTCTCCCAGGTTCAAGTGATTCTCGTGCTTCAGCCTCCCAAGGCTAGGATTACAAGTGCATGCCACCACACCCAGCTAATTTTTACATGTATTATAAAGAATATATATATATTCTTTAGTAGACACGACGTTGGCTAGGCTGGTCTTAAACTCCTGACCTCGTGTGACCCACCTGCCTTGGCCTCCTGAAATGCTGGGATTACAGGCATGAGCCTCCACACCCGGCCCACTTTATTGATTGTGAGATTATGTTTTGGTAGAAAGGCTTCCTGGTGATGACACTTTCCTGCTGACTGGTGCTTTGTTACCAGCACAGACCCTACTGTCTCAGGAATATGAACAAACACTCGGCTCTGCTCAAGGGCTAAAGCATAGCTGAGCCTGCTGCTTCTGCGCCTCCGGAGCCCAGCACTGAGTGACCTACCATGGCATGCATGCCCTGCTGTCAACAGGACACAGCGGGCTTTGCCTATTCCTGGCACCACCTGAAATTTTCTCATGCTCTTGTTATATTTTAAACATATTTAAAATTTCTATTTCTCTATCAATGACAACTGCACAATACACAGCCCTACTCTCACCTCACGAAGCCAAGTCTTTTCTCAGAGTGCCAAACAGTTTACAGCAGCATTTGGTGTGGCACAAAGATGAGATGCCCAGGCCGGTTTTAGTAAATAACACTATATTGGATCTTCAGAGAAGTTTCCCTTTATTCCTGCAATTGGGAAATGTTATCAGGAACATGTACGTTTAAGTACTCCTGATAAAAGATTTGGAGGTCTTGCTGAGCGTGGTGGCTCATGCCTGTAATCCCAGCACTTTGGGAGGCTGAGGCAGGCGGATCACCTGAGGTTGGGAGTTCAAGACCATCCTGGCCAACATGGTGAAACCCTGTCTCTACTACAAATACAAAAATTAGCCAGGCGTGGTGTTGCGTGCCTGTAGTCCCAGCTATTTGGGAGGCTGAGGCAAGAGAACTGCTTGAACCCAGGAGGCAGAGCTTGCAGTGAGCCAAGACTGCGCCACTGCTCTCCAGCCTGGGTGACAGAGAGAGACCGTCTCAAGAAAAAAAAAAAAAAAAAAACTTGAGGGTCTTTAGCTCTAAAGACTCAATTCTCAGCTAGGTGCAGTGGCTCACGCCTGTAATCCCAGCACTTTGGGAGGCCAAGGTGGGCAGGTCACCTGAGGTCAGGAGATCAAGCCCATCCTGGCCAACATGGTGAAACCCCATCTCTACTACAAACAGAAAAATTAGCTGGGTGTGGTGGCGCACACCTGTAGTCCCAGCTACTCAGGAGGCTGAGGCAGGAGAACTGCTTGAATCAGACAGTTGGAGGTTGCAGTGAGCCAAAATCGTGCCACTGCACTCCAGCCAGCGAGACTCCATCTCAAAAAAAAAAAAAAGACTCCACTCTCACCAGCTCAGGGGAATTTCCTCCTATTCCTTCAGCGCATCAGCTCTCCAGAAAAGTTGTAATGCACACACTCTGCTTTTGGCCACCTCTATTTTGCTGCACTGCCTCTCAGAGAGTTTAGTTTCAGCTATTGTGATTCTCCTCCCCACTCTTTCTGACTGAGCTTGCTGGGGTATTTAATTTTCTTTCATTGGAGTCATTAGTCCTCACTGCCAGACTGACACCTTTTCCAATCTGTTTCCTCACTGCCCTCAGTGGCATTCTGTCTGCTGCTGTTAGGAAGGTCTAAGCCCATCTACATTAAGAACTGGAAGAAAATACTGAGGATGTCCTGGCTGGCCTTTGACTGGGGGTGACAGAAGGATGGGGAGTGGCAGAGATGGGTTGAACTGCTTGGTGGATGGGGACATTCTAGGCAGTCAGGCCGCCTCTCACCCTGCAGGCTTTACTTAAAATCTGAGCGGGAACATGGTCAGGCAGCTCTTTTGCTGGAGGAAGAAGCTTTAGTGGAATTTCTGAATGGCATCGGTTTTTTCCTAACTGCTCCTTCCACAAGCAGTTCTGAGGAACCAGAATAGAGGTCCTTGCTTGGCCAAGGAACTGTCTGTTTCTCTAGCTTCTGCTCTGCGGACTTCTTTCTCAGACTCCTCCCTTGGGGACTCGGAGCAGTGAGACTGAAAAGCAGTCTGCTTCCTGCCTCCCTCCATTCCTCCCTCCAGGAGCTTTTGGTAGGGATCATTCAGAATGACCCCGATGTCCTCCTCATGACACCACGCCAGGCTCAGGCACCCAGAAACCCAAGCCCTGTGCATCAGTGACTGGGTGGCTGGAAGTGGATGCCTTTCTTCCTAAATAGGTGTCAGGCACCTTCCAGTGCTTCTGTGAGGAGCAGTGTCCTTTCCAGTGACAGGGAGCTGGAGCTGACGCAGTGAGACCAAGCCGGTCAGACTAGGCAGCCCCTACATCCTCCAGGGAGCCAGCACCTCCAGGGGCTGGGACATGCAGATCAAGTGCGCCCAGGACCTGACTCACCCCCTCTGACAAGCCAGTTCCAGCAGCTCCGCTCTGGGCAGCCCTGAGACCCCCAAAAAGACGGTGCCAGAGCCCACACAGTCGAGCAGCTCCCAGTACTCCCACCAGCACTACCTGCACCTGGAGAGATGGAGGTTCTAGGAAGCCCTGATCCTTATCCCTTCCTGGCCACTGCACCCAGGCAAAATGCCTCCCTAGTCTGAGGCCAGGGGCTGAGGTGTGACTGGCTGAGATCCTCAGTGTGGGTGCAGAACGAGGGGGTAAGTGATTTCCCCAATGCATGAGGGAGAGTGTGGGAGTGAAGGCAGAACTAAGGTAGAATTGTATATTGTGTAGCCAGTTAATAATTATAATGCTATCACCCACTGCCAGGAGTAAATACTTAGGAAACTATGTAAGTTTTTGAAAAGCAGAGGAGGGCCTGGTACGGTGGCTCACACCTGCAATCCCAGCACTTTGGGAGGCCAAGGAGGGTGGGTCACCTGAGGTTGGGAGTTCAAGACTAGTCTGGCCAACATGTTGAAACGCCATCCCTACTAAAAATAAAAAATTAGCCAGGCACAGTGGCACATGCCTGTAGTCCCAGCTACTTGGGAGGCTGAGGCAGGAGGATCACTTGAACCTGGGAGGCGGAGGTTGCAGGGAGCCGAGATCGATCGCACCACTGCACTCCCACCTGGGCAACGAGAGTGAAACTCCGTCTCAAAAAAAGCACAGGAGAAACACTGGAAATGCTCTTATGAGTTATTTCTGAGTGATGAAATCAGGAATTTTTCTCTTTGTACTCTTCCTTCGTTCTAATGTCTTATAAGAATTTCAAGAAACAGAATGGGGGGAAAAGGTATACAGGAGAGACAGACCCCTGGCTGTGGGCTCCGAAGGGTGAAGTCACAGAAGGAAAGCCTGCTGTGGTCGAGCACTCGGCGCTGCCGAAGCCGGCATCGCTCTCCAGAACGTCCCGTCCCGTCCTGTTCCCTCATGCCGTGTCACAACACCCCCCAGGACGGCCAGAGGATGAAGAAACAGAACAAAGAGGCACCACCACTCTGGCAGGGAAGGGGTGTGTCTGTGACCCAGCACACACCCGTGTGGTGACCTGCACACTCACAGTCGTGTGGGCAGGACCCACTCCTGCTGCAAATCTGTGCGCAGTTAGGGCTGTGGTTCTGAATGAGCTGTTTGTTAAGGAAAACTGGATTGAAGGCAACAGCCTCCATGTAGGACTTCAATAAAATTGGAATTGAGGCAGCTTTGAGAAGTTCCTTGAAAAAAAGGTACCACTGAGTAAAGAAGGTGGTGAGGCATTTTTAAGAGTTCTCAGCTTGGCTACATCATGGAAGGTGAAACATGAATTTGGAACTCACTCAATGAGGCCATTTGTTACAAATAAGCCACAATTTTCCTCCTAGATGCAAACATTGCCATGCCTAGGTTCCTTCAGGGTTGCAGCAGACTTTTCTTCCAGAAAGCGGAACAGAGCTCCGCCTTCACGATGCGCCTTTTTCAGATGGCGCAGCTAGAGATGGCTGCTGCATTTCTTTGCAGCACATCAAGGCACACAAAAGAACTTAACCAGAATTCTCACACGAAGGCGCCTAAGCACAGCACGACTTCAACAGTGATTTGTGACCAAGACACAAAACACAATGTGAGACACCAAGTAACCGCCTCCAGAGAGCCCCCTCTCTTAAGTCTGACTGCCAGGATAGGAGCGAGGCTGCCGTGCGTCTGGCTTGGCACACAGGCCCCATGGAGCCCAGCAAGGCACTAGATGACTGACACTTGCCGAGGCTCCCGTGTGGGCTCAGGCGAGGAAGGGTGTGTGCTGTACACAATTTCAACTTTCTTGTCCACATAAACTGAACCACTTACTGATTTCCTCCATCACAACAGTGTTGTCCATTGCTATGTGGACCGCCAAGGAGCTCCACGTGTCGAAGACAGCAAGCTTCCTACAGAGAGTGGGAGGAGAGCAACCATAAGCTTTTCTACAATTCAAAGACACTTCATCTATCTCTGCAGCGACAACTGCTGGAAGGAGTGTTCGTGTTAGAGCTGCTTCTCGGATGAGAAGGGCCGGGGCTCCGAAAGTCCGGGCATAGCTAATGCCACAGACAGGAAGAAAGCTGAGGGTAAATCTGCCTCTTCTCGCCTGAGGCCCAGTGGTCCTTCCCTTGCCCCAGCCTCCATTCAGAGAGCACACGAAAGAGGCTTTTCAGTGGCCTGGCTTCCTGGTCTCACTGGCACAGAGGCAGAACTAGAACACGAACCCAGTTCTGAGAGGCTACGGGTTTCGCCAACTTCGAGGCAGGCCTCCCAGCACCTTTACACTCTGCTCTGCTCAGCCCTCCACAAACACGCTTAGCTGACAACCTAGGGGTCTGAGTCCTGGCAGGGAAACCTGCGGCTCCGCGGGGAGCACGACTGTGCATGCTAGCGAGCAGACACTGTGGCTCAGTTCCTTCTGAAGGAAGAGCAGATTCTCAGCCAAAGTCCAACAGGACTCCGATCTCATCCCAGGTGCCACGGAGATGGGTTCAGACGACCTCAACAAAAGCTAAGAAAACAGAAAAGGCCCGAGGCGGCAAGGACCTAGAGGTTCTGGGGACAGAATCTGGGACCTGTGTGCGGGAGGCCTGGGTGGGGTGGAGCATGGGACTGGGGTGACCACACAGAGTCCCACCCATGCACAAGCCCAGAGGAGACACTGGGAGGAGAGCCTGCTTCCCCATCTGGGCCGCCCTCCCCCTCCCCACTCCAGCCAGCCGCAGTGCCAAAGATGCAGCACAAGGGCCGCAGCGGCACTGGCAAAGCTGACGGGGACAGGGGGCAAACAAGGAAGCAGCGGCCATGTGGGTTGGTGGTCAGCGCTGTAGAGAATAGTAACATAAGAACGGGGCGTGGCACTATCTGGGCAGACATGGGGCACAACCCAGGCAGGTGTCGGGGGACGGGTCCAAGTGCCAGCACCAGATATGCAAAGGTGCTGAAGCCGGTTGTGTCCCAGGAACACAACAGAGTCACACCAGGGAGGTGGGGTATAGCCCCCCCCCACCTAGTCAGTAGGGAAGCGCCAGGGCGGTTCAGGGCAGAGTGGTGGCCAATGTGTTTTATGCAGATAGCTCTGCTGTTATTTGTTAAAGAGACTCTACGATGATAGAGAGAAGGAAGATCAACAAGAAGAAAAGAGATGGGACTTGGGCCAGCACAGGGAGTGAAAGGATGAATGCTCGTCAGAATCTGGACGTATATTGGATGAGCTCACTGAAGGAAAGAGGAGTCTTGGTGGGGTGGGGTAGCTCATGTCTGCAACCCCAGCACTTTGGTAGGCCGAGGTGGGTGGATCACAAGGTCAAGAGATCAAGACCATCATGGCCAACATGGTGAAACTCCGTCTGCTAAAAATACAAAAATTAGCCGGGCATGGTGGCATGCGCCTGTAGTCCCAGCTACTCAGGAGGCTGAGACAGGAGAACAGCTTGAATCCGGGAGGCGGAGGTGGCAGTGAGCCAAGATTGCGCCACTGCACTCCAGCCTGGCCCCAGAGCGAGACTCCATCTCAAAAAAAAAGAGCAAGAGGAGTCTAGAACAATCCCAAATTCTGGCTTGAGCACCTGAAGGAGTGCCGCCACTGTGGAAGCAGCAGGTTGGGGCCAGCACGAGCTCTGGCTGTCAGGTCACCATGCACCACGGATGCCCGAAGGGAAATGCAGAATAAGCAGCTGGACCTGAGCCTACAGTCCAGGGACAAATCAGCCCTGCAGGTGACCCTGGAAGCCAGTCCGCATGCCTGGGTGCCACAGCACGAGCAGGTTGGGGAGGATCATCCAGCAACAGGGGTGGGGGGCTAGTGGGGAGCGGGCAGGGGGCCAAGAGAAACAGTGAGCATGGCTGAATGGCCTGGTGCTTCCAGAGTGAGCGCCTGCACCAAGGGTCACCCGCTGCTGGCTAAGACAGAGACCGCAGCTCAGTTTCAGACCTGAAAACAGTGTGCCGCTAGCCTTGACAGGGCCACTCTAGGCAGCACCAAGAGGAAGTGTGAGTAGTGGGGAGCCACTGGACAGAGGACTCTGACGGGCACGCAGCGGGGACTGAGCAGGTGCCATGCCAAACACAGGGCAGGCCCAGGAGACAGAGGCAGCAGCAGGCGGGGGATGTGGGATGGGGAGGGGGTGATGTAAGAGAGACGGACGTGTGCAGGAGACCCCAGGGAACCTGAAAGAAAAGTTGGGTGGAGACAGTGACTGCCATGCTGAGGAGCGGGGTGAGGGGAGACAAGGCCATTTCAGCAATGTGGAACATGGGCACCTGAGGGCCTCGAGTAGGCTATAGGGCAGGTAGGTGCAGGAGGAGAGGCTTCAAGGGAGCTGGAGCTGGAGACAGGCTTGGGAGACACTGGCCTTGGCCTAATGGGGAAGAGGCCCTGAGGGTGCAAGTCCAAGGGGAACTGGCCAGAGCCTCCCCAAAAATGCTGGGATGCCAGGACACACGGAATCAGACCAAGTGACCCTGGACGGGTCAAGAGGAATGAAGAGCGGACACAAAACTGAAACCATACGCAAGTTTCTGGAACTGCAGGGAGGACCATTTCAGAGGAATCTGGGGAGCGGGAGAGGGGAGGCAGCAAGGAGCAAACACACAATGGGGCTGAGTGAGGCATGAGAGGAAGCAGGTGTGGGGGACACTTGCAGGCGCCGAGGTGCATGGGAAGGCGAGCCAGGCAACAGGGAGGCTCCAGGCAACACAAGGAAAACAGGCAGCAGGGCTCAGGGATGCCAGCCTCCAACAAGCCCACAGAGGTGGGAGGGCCCAGCACCTGCAGGGATGGCTGCAGACCAGTTTCAGCTGCAGGTGGGAGGCTGTAGGTTGTGCCAGGCTGTAGGTTGTCCCCATTAGATGCCACTATTACAGGTGGCTCCACAAGGAAGACAAAGAACAAGGGTCCAATCTGCCAGCCAGCATCTGAACTATGGTGTTCATTTATTAGAAAACACACACCCCCATTCACAAGACGACTTGGCCTGGTCATCTCCGAGCAAGCTCCCGAGGGCCCTGCAGCCAATCATTAGAGAGCCCTGATTTCCTGCAGCCATGAAGACTCAAGGATAACCGAAACCCCAGGGAACATCCATGCTGCCCCCGCTCAGCACTGGAAGTGCAGTACATACTTGAGGACCTGGGCAACAGTGTTCGGCCCGTACCACTGGCCTATGGACTTGCCTTCGCCAACTCCCATTTGCGCTGCAGGGAACAGATGCAGATTAGCGACACACTCCCACCCTGACCACCCCAACGCCCCCAGCCCTGAGCTCTGGTGGCATGTGGTGCCAGGACACACGTCACAGGAAGGCCTGGAGGGCACCCTACCCAGCCTCCAGACGTAAGGATGCCCCAACAAGGTGCGCGGAGGCGTGAAGGGACAGCTGAGGTCTCAAGGGCTGTCCTTCACTGTGAACTCAGATAAGGAGGGGAAGCCAGGAAATGAAGGGACCACTTCCTTCTATCAGTGAAGACAGTGCTCAAAAGTTGGCCTTGCTTGCAACAAAGGCCAGCTACTCTTGACTCACTCCACTTCAATCTGAGCATTCAAACTCACTGATGGGGCAGGAGGAAGAAGGGCCCTTCAGGAATGAGGCCAATTTTCTCATATTGTGCTAAGTACCAGGCACTGCAGGCCACAGGGACGGCCGGGAGGGCAAGGCCCCGCAGGGCCCGGGCGGGAGCACCCACAGCAGGGCCCGGATGGGAGCACTCACAGCAGGGCCCAGGCGGGAGCACCCACAGCAGCGCACAGGCGGTCAGAGGCCCGTGTGGTCTAAACATCCCGCAACACCAGAAAAGTTCTTGGGGGAAACCGACCACTCCACCGTCTCCCAACAGCCCGGGCAGGGCCCGGCACAACCTACAGCCCCCACCTATCTGGTGAATGGAGTAGCAACTGTCCTTCCTGTCGATGAATGCGTTGAGGACGCTGAAATAGCTGTCCGGCTGCCTCTTCCTTTGTGTCCACCTCCAATCTATTGGAAAAAAACTACAGGTCAGCACTACCGTAAACACGAGAAACAAGTCTTCACTTTCACAAACACTCAATGTACAGGTGGCATCCAAACCTTTTTCGGGATCTCTTTGTTTTTCTGAGACGGAGTCTCACTCTATTGCCAGGCTGGAGTGCAGTGGTGCGATCTCGGCTCCCTGCAACCTCTGCCCCCCGGGTTCAAGCGATTCGATTTTCCTGCCTCAGCCTCCTGAGTAGCTGGGACTGCAGGCACGTGCCACCACACCCAGCTAATTTTTTGTATTTTTAGTAGAGATGGGGTTTCACTATGTTGGCCAGGATGGTCTTGATCTCTTGAACTCGTGATCCGCCAACCTCGGCCTCCCAAAGTGCTGGGATTACAGGCGTGAGCCACCATGCCCAGCCCGGAAACTTTTAAAAGTAAAAACTCATGCTTTCCAGGATTTCAAATGCAAAAATGACAAGTTAGCAAAACAAATCTGTACAGAAAACAGTTTCAGTGACTTAAAACATTGATCAGCACCAGATGAGGTGGCTCATGCCTGTAATTCAGGCACTTTGGGAGGCTGTGGCAGGCGAATCACCTGAAGTTGGGAGTTCAAGACCAGCTTGACCAACATGGAGAAACCCTGTCTCTATTAAAAATACAAACCGGGGGTGGTGGTACATGCCAGTAATCTCAACTACTCGGGAGGCTGAGGCAGGAGAATCACTTGAACCCAGGAGGCAGAGGTTGTGGTGAGCCGAGATCGTGCCATTGCACAGCCTGAGTGACAAGAGCAAAATTCTATCTCAAAAAAAAAAAAAAAAAAAAAAAATTTTCAAAATTTTTTTTTTTTTTTTTTCCAGACAGGGTCTAACTCTGTTGCCCTGGCTGGAGGGCAGAGGCACAATCTCAGCTCACTGCAGCCTCCACCTCCTGGGTTCAAGCAATTCTCCCACATCAGTCTCCCATGTAGCTAATTTTTGTAGTTTTTTGTAGAGATGGGGTCTCACCATGTTGCCTAGGCTGATTTATCAGCTTTCTCTAAAGTCAGTTTTTTAAACAAGTGGGTCATTACTCAAGAAAACCCCAAGTTCTATTTTGTGTTTTACCTGTGACCTGCTCTAAAGTGCCCTGACTCCACAGTCCCCTTTGCTTACTAAGAACACCATGGCCAGCGTCCTCCCCAGGGCTGTGACTCACCTCGGCCTAGGTGCCGGCACACCAGGGCTTGGGCAAAGATCATCTGTCCACACCGCAGCATGCAGCCCCAGCCTGTGTCCGAGGTGGGGCCTGTCCCCCCTGTCACGGCAGACAGAGAGAGAAGTGCTCATGGCTAGACGGCCTCACAGGCCAAGAGCCCACTGGAGGAGGCAGTAGGTCAGTCCCGCACCGCAGGTACCAACTCCCTCAACTATCAGCTCCACCTGGGGCAACACACACCTCTTAGGACTCAGTAACACCAAGGGCCACATTCACTGGAGAGCGAAATGTCCTGACAACCTCCTCAAAATGGGCAAAACACGTGAACAGGTCAGTCATGGAGCAAAAGGAGTGTCTGACAAACACAGGAAGACACTGATCCCCGTAAGTCATGCAGAAAACGCAAAGTTAAAACAAGAAAAGTCATTTTCCAATTATCAGAAAGGCAGAAACTCAAAGGCCTGCTGACACCCAGTGTTGCTGAGAGTACAGGAGAGGCCGCCAAGGCAGCAAGGCAGCCCTCACTGCACAGGTGCCTGGGCCCGGGCCCTGGCCCTCATGGCCGCTCCCTGGGGCCCAGAAAGATGGACAACACACAGCATGGAATAGCGTGGCATGTGACAGACACTTGCGAAACACTGTCAGCCCACAGCAGGCAAGAGGCATGTGGGTGGCTGCACGCCAGGGAGAGAAGCAGAGATTCAGGCGACAGACCACAAGGTTTGCCCTGTGCCCACACTTGGGCTTCCAGCAGCTTCCCCACACACTGACAAGGACAATAAACCCTGTGTTTTGGGGCAGTGGTGGCTGTCACACACCAACAACCCAATCAGCAGTGCCCATGATCACCCTTGCTCCACTGCTGATAAAAACAAATCATCTCAGAGCCAGGCATGGGGGTGTGCACCTGTAGTCCCAGCTACTCAGGAGGCTGAGAAGGGAGAATTGCTTGAGCCCAGGAGTTCAAGTCCAGCCTGGGCAACACAGTGAAACCCCACCTATTGAAAAAATTAAGGCCGAGTGCAGTGGCTCACGCCTGTAATCTCAGCACCTTGGGAGGCCAAGGCGAGCAGATCACAAGGTCAGGCGATCAAGACCATCCTGGCTAACACGGTGAAAATCCGTCTCTACTAAAAATACAAAAAATTACCTGCGCGTGGTGGTGGGCACCTGTGATCCCAGCTACTCGGAAGGCTGAGGCAGGAGAATCACTTGAACCCGGGAGGCAGAGGTTGCAGTGAGCCGCAATCGCAACACTGCACTCCAGCCTGGGCGACAGAGCGAGACTCCGTCTCAAAAAAAAAAAAAGGAAATTAATAATTTAAAAAAATCATCTCTGTGGGACCAGAGAAGGAGACACACCACACTTGACCTTGAGAACGGCAACAGGGCTGCTTCATCTGCAGCGGTTATCTCCAGCCTCCACCTCCTCCACAAGGCCTCCGCCAAACCAGAAAGGCTTCACTGGAGCCCTGTTCTCCTTCCCAGCCTGCGGCAGAGTCACTGTGAAGGAGAGGGAGGCTGGGAACAAACTGCATCCACATCCGCAAGGAGAGCAGGCTCAGAGCAGCTGCGAAACACGTGTGCAATGCACAGCCCTTCCCGGGGCACATCTGACAAGTCACAACATGAAGTGTCAACCTAAGGGGACATTGTCTTATGTCCCTATGCGTCAGTGTTCTGCAATGCCAAGCCGCTGTGGCTATTTTACTCTCACCTCACTTCAGGATAAGGAATGAAACCACCCCTAGAAGAGGGGCCAAACCCCGGCCCGGCACTGAGGCAGCGTAAGGTAAGCCCTGCCCCTCACCTCCGGCCTCAGTTATCCACCAGTGAGAGGCAGGGCTGAGAAGCAGTCCCATCTCCTTCCAGCTCCAGGGCATACAGAAATGATGGAGTGCACTTTAGTGTTACATAAAAACATGTCACCTGGCCCTTCAGATCTCCCTGCAGGTAAGTGTGGAAAATACTAAACAAGATAAGGACTATGGAGAATGGCTGCCAAACATTCTGGACCTAAGTAAGAAACACACTGTATTCAAATACTCAGACTAAAACTCAAATCCCCGAAGCGGCGTGCGGCCTGCCTACAACGGACACACTGTTTCCTACACCGTTCTGTCCTACATTTAAGACAATGTTGGCCGTGACTCAGATACTGATTTCCAGCTCCAGTAATAAGCGGTGATTGGCAGTTGAAAACGCACTGCCCTAGGTAGAATCAGGAGCCTTGGGTTGGATTCTAGCCCTGACACAGCTACATGTGAGGCCTCGGCCAATTCATTTAACCAGGACTGCTGTGAAGATTCAGATGAACTACGCAGCATATTGAAATCAAATCTACAAGCCTAAGTTCTCCTTCCTAAAAACACGTACACTTTGTCCCACACTGTAATAAATCCGAGTACTTACCAATGGCTGGAAAGTTTTTCCTGTATGTAAACCAAAGTCTAGATGCCACATCAGACAAGATCTCGTCCTTTTCTAGAGGTTGTTTAAAAGAAAAAAAAAAAAACACACACACACAATGCCTTAAGTTTGCAAGTCACATGTTATGGCAGAGTTAGCAGAGAACAATTATCATCACAAAATGCTTCTGCAGGCCAAGCGGTCCGAGCAGGGTGGGCTGCAGCATGGCCGATACCTGTGAAAATGCTGTATTTTCTACCCAGTATCCAAACGGGCTCTGAGGTCTCAGGGAAATCTTCAAACTCGGCAAACCGGAGAGTGTCGTAGGTCAGAGTAGCTGTTGAAACCAAAGACGCACAATCATCAGACATTTATAATTTCATAAAGTGGTATCAAAAAGGACATTTATAGCACTTCTGTGCTAAAGAGAACAACTGTAAATTCTTGCAATGACAGCACACCCTCTTGCATCTCCGGCCTACCATGACTCCACCATGGATGGAGTAAACTCGTGGGAATACACAGGAGGCCATGCTGGCCAGCTGCTCTGCTAAGGTATGGGGACAGGGAGGTGGGGCCAGCATGCCACTTCCTAAGCCTTTGTCTGACAGCAGACATGAGGGTGAGAGGCCAAGTTAGGGGCCAGCCTGAGGGGAGAGAAACCAAAAGAAATAACATAAAGAGCCACCCGATTCGAGCACTTACTTTAGACTTAAAAATGTTTGGGCCGGGCGCAGTGGCTCACGCCTGTAATCCCAGCACTTTGGGAGGCCGAGCGAGGCAGGTGGATCAAGAGGTCAAGAGATCGAGACCATCCTAGCCAACGTGGTGAAAGCCCGTCTCTACTAAAAATACAGAAATTAGCCAGGCTTGTTGTCGGATACATGTAGTCCCACAGCTACTCGGGAGGCTGAGGCAGGAGAATGGCTTGGACCCGGGAGGTGGAGGTTGCAGTGAGCCAAGATCCCACCACCATACTCCAGCCTGGCGACAGAGCGAGACTCCGTCTCAAAAAAAAAAAAAAAAAAAGTTTAAAACATCCAAGACAAACATAAAATGAAACCACCCCCTACATCTTTGTGTGCAAGGAAAGCCAAAGATGAAACAGAACAAGGAGTCATTTTTCATGGCCATCCTAAGGTTTACCAGATGTCACCTTGGCAGCGCATTCACAGTCACTGTGATGAAGGCACATGCTCCAGGGGCAAGAAACACTGAGCTGCTGGGAAGACTGGGGTTCTGGTCTCCCCTAAATTCCTGGTTAGGGGCAGGTGCTGGAGAAGTGTGGGGTGCTACTCCAAGGTAGAAAGTTAACCTCTGGACACTGAGAAATCAAGCTCTCTACCAAGTCCACAGAGGTACCTGGGTACAAAGGGCCTAGTGATCAAGAACTGAACCTGTTTTCATTTCAACAATGCTACCAGAAGGGCACTGCCACCACTTCCATGTGGCAACACGCCACTTTCTAAGGAGGTGGCTGGCTGCAGAGCCACAGAGTTTACCTGCTGTGCTATTGAGCCCTGCACACCATCTTACTCTGTTTTACTTCAGTTAAGAAACTAGGCCAGGCGCAGTGGCTCATGGCCATAATACCAGCACTATGGGAGGCCGAGGCGGGCGATCGCCTGAGGTCAGGAGTTTGAGACCAGCCTGGTCAACATGGTGAAACTCCATCTCTACTAAAAGTACAAAAATTAGCCGGGCACGGTGGTGGGTGCCTGTAATCCCAGTTACTCAGGAGGCTGAGACAAGAGAATCACTTGAACTTGGGAGGTGGAGGTTGCAGTGAGCCGAGATTGCACCACTGCACTCCAGCCTCGGCGACCAGAGTGAAGCTCCATCTCAAATAAATAAATAAATAAAATAAACTAGAGAGGCCCAGGATCTTCCTGCCCACAGAACTGTGGCTGAGGATACCCATGTCACACACTGTCCCCAAAAAGAAGGTGCCAGCCAGCAGCAAGGCACCAGCCCAAACACCCATGTGGCGAGATGTGCATCGCGTATTCTGGGGTGGCACCCGAGGCGCCTCCCTCCAGCTGCTCCTCAGGCAACCTGGAACACGCAGTTCCCATCTGCTGCCTCTCCAGCTCTGACGGTGTCTGATCACCCATTCTTCACCAGCAGCTTCACAGCAGTCTTTTGAAAATCAAACACATATGAATTTTTCCCACATCTAAATTTACTTTTTGATAACAACCCCACACTTTGATAAGAATGACACACGCTAATTATAAAAAACGCCGAAGACTACAAAAATACACAAATCACATGAAGCCTCATCACCCAGCAATGCCTCTCCTTCCAGAAGCCTTTCTGCATAGGTTCGTAGCTGAAATCATACTAATCCCGCGGTTTCCTCAGAATTCTACATAAACACAGAGCTCCACCTAAGCTGATACTATAAATAAAGCTCCTTGTTTACATCACAGACAGCTCGAGCATCCCTGCGTGTGTGTACTTCTGTGCTGTGCACAATCCCCTCGGGGAGGCAGGGGGCAGGGTGCTGGCTCTGGCCCCTGGCAGTCGGAATTCAAAGCCCAGCCTGGGTGCTGGTAAAATGTAGTTTCCTGGGCCACTCGCTTAACTCTTAAGTGTCCATCATCCATAAAATGGGATAATAACAGGATAGCCTCACAACATGGTTGTGATGTTTCCATCAAACACTTCCAGTGAGGTGCTGGCTGGTAGACAGAAGGGCTCCAATGTCAGCTGTGTCATTAGCATCAAGGACTCAGAGCCACAGGGTCAAAGGCACACACATTTTATTATACCCAAAAGGCTTAATTATATGTACAGCTGATTCCCAAACACACGGCTGGGAAGTACTTGCCAGCATCTCCCTCAGCACAGGGAGAACTAACAAACCCACAACAGAGGGCCCCATGCGCGTTGTTTAAAGAATTCTCAGCTGCAGGAGACCCAGGCCCCTCTCTGCCCTTTTTCTATAGTGCTGTAGCTTCCTGAGCAAAACGACAGGTGTTACAGAGTTGCTGGGGCCAGATGAAACAAGCTTTAACAAGCTTTCCACAGCAGGACTTGGTGTCCAAGAGTTCTGCGCTATTTTTTTCTTTTTTTGAGACAGGGTCGTTTTGTCACCCAGGCTGGAGTACAGTGGTGCAATCATCGCCTACTGCAGCCTCAAGCTCCCAGGCTCAATCAATCCTCCTGTCTCAGCCTCCTGAGCAGCTGAGACTACAGGCATGTGCCACCACACCCAGCTAATTATTGGAATTTTTTTTTGTAGAGACGTTGCCAAGCTGGTCTCAAGCTCCTTGGCTCAAGCAATCCACCTGTCTTGGCCTCCCAACATGCTGGGATGACAGGCATGAGCCACTGCACCTGGCCCCCAGGAGCTCTGCTCTTATATATTTCACTCTTCCATGCTTTCACAGACAGTATCAACCAAACTGCTTGGTACTGTGAATAAATAATTTAAAGTCCAAGTTTACATTGTCTTTCACCTTTTTATATATATAAGGTTACTTGCTTCTGCACATGATTACAAAAACTGAGTTGAGATGAATTAAGGCCCATGTCTGTCTTTTTAAAGACTTGAAAAAATTCATGATGTCCCTGCTACCTCTCTAAAGCCACTCCGGAACCTTCAGAAGTCACTGCTGTTCTTTGACCTCTAGGCTTTATCCAATACACAGACTCAAATCCACAAAATTTATTCTCAAGGAAAAAGGATGCAAACGCCACTGTAATTTCAATTTCCAACGCTGCAGGACAATGATTCCATCTTGCTGCTAGAACATTCTTCTGATATTTGAGATGGCTCCAAGGTACCAGCTTTGAACTAAAGATACGCATATCTTTTATTTAAAGCACTGCAGAGCTAAATGAACACTTTGGCAAGTATCTCTTTGTAGGCTACAGATGTTACTTAGGATGGGATTATGTCCAATAAACCTGTTGTAAGTTGAAAATACTGTCAGTCAAAAATGCACTGAGACCAAGCATGGTGGCTCACGCCTGTAATCCCAACACTTTGGGAGGCCAAGGCAGGCACATCACCTGAGGTCAGGAGTTCAAGACAAGCCTGGTCAACATGGTGAAACTGCATCTCTATTAAAAACACAAAAAATTATCTGGGCGTGGTGGCAGGTGCCTGTAGTCCCAGCTACTCAGAAGGCTGAGGTGGGACAATCACATGAACTCAACAGATGGAGGCTGCAGTGAGCTGAGATCGCACCACTGCACTCCAGCCTAGGTGGCAGAGTGAAACTCCATCTCAAAAAAAAAAGGAAAGAAAAAATGCATTGAATACATGTAACCTACCTGGCATCAAAGCTTAGCTCAGCCTGCCTTAAACGCGCTCAGAACACTCACATTAGCCTAGAGTTGGGCAAACTCAGCTGGCAAGACAGTGCCCCGAAGAGCATGGGTCATTTACCCTCCTCATCATGTGGCTGACGAGGAGCTACCTGGCATCTCCAGAGTATCTGGGGACACAATGTTAGCCCAGGAAAAGATCAAAATTCGAAACATGAAGTCTAGCTTCTACAGAATGCATATTGCATTCACAGTACTGTAAAGTCAAAAAATTGTGAGTCAAACCATGGTAGTTTGGAGATCATCTGTATTTCAGAAGAATGTGGCATATGGCATCAGGAAAAGGACCATATCGTTGAATCAAAGTCTGTAGTATCAGAATCTGGAAACTGAGAAACTTCTACGACATCCATCTCCTCATATTAAAAATATACATGATAAGAGAACAGGAAAAGTAGATAAGGAAGAAAAGGAACCAGGCTCACTCTGAAAGCAGGGTAACAACACCTGGGCAGCTGGGAAGCTGAGGGATTTCCATCACAGAAGCAGTGAAATGCAAAGCAGGTGAATTTCTTAGGTTTATTGGCAAACTTTACAGGCAAGGAAGCCAACTTCAGAGTGAAGGGAGTAAGAGGTGTTCCATTAAGTTCAAATACATCACCACACCTCCAACTGTAACTGTGACAATTACAGGTGTGTGGCCTCAGATTCGTCACTGCATGGACCATCAAGGAGACCAGGAAACCCGAGGGCAGCAAACCAAGGGGCAACCACAGTGCTTGGCAGTGAATAGGAGCGGCGCAGCCAAGGCGAACATGACCCATGGGGTCCTTAAGGAGGGCTCCCACACCGCGGTTTCCCAAGCTGCGCTACTCCTCTGTCTAGAGAAATGCACTCCCGCCCTCCCCCAGAAACCTGCCCTCTGCTGGGTGTGAGTCACACATTTCCTAGGACCAGCTGCAGACACACTGGAAACACGGTGCCTTTGCTTCTCCCACCATACTGCACTGTCCTTTCTATACCATGGAAGATGCTGCTAGCAGGGTGTGTCCACACGTC